CTCGAAGCGCCTCCTGACTTTCTCCGCCCTTTCCCGCGCACCCCGTTTCGCCTGCCCTCGGACACCTGGCCGCAGGGACCCCCCAGCCCTGACTCCCACCTCTGCCCACGCCGGGCCGGGCCAGACCTGGGCTCTGTCTGGACTTGGTCCACGCGGAGGCGACCTTGGCCTCTGCCTCCCGCGTGTTCCAACGTGCACCCTTCCTTGGTGCGAGTTCCCCCAGGACTTTCCCACGGGTGGGGCGGGGTGACAAGCGAGTCCCCATGAGCACTCAAGGAGACGAGTCCAGGTGGCCAGCCGCCCCCCACCCAAGGTCAGAACAGGCCAGGACCTAAGGGGGTAGCAGGGTAGGAGGGGGGTTGTCTCTGCCAGGGTGCCCCTGGGTAGGCGACACCTCCTGGCGCTCACCCACTGACTGGCTTACTCACCGCGCTCCCTCCTCCTGGCTGATCCTGGCCTGACTTAGCCAGGTCGCCAAAGTCCCTGCCCACCCACCTTCCCACCAAGGCCTGCACCCCGGGGGGAAGACAGAGCCAGAAGCGAGGATGGCCAGAAGGGTGGGGACAGACAGGGGACCCTTCCCTGGTCATTCGGGAGCAGTGGTCAGGGCCCAGGATGGGGACAGGCTGACGTGAAGGAAGCTACTTGGCTTCCCCGCTGACAGGCCGGAGGAGGAGGCCAACGGTTGTTTGCTGTTCCCAGAGGGGAGGGACCGGATTTGGCCTGGAGTGCTTCTGGCCTGGCCGGGAGCCTAGGGGCTTCCGGCCGCCTCCCAGGAACCCTCCCAGCCCTCTCTCCCTTTCCCAGAGAGAGCTCCTGCCAGTGAGGCTCAGGGTGGGGGACCATCCCGGGTCCTCCTGCCTGCCTTGCTGCCCACGACTTTGCCCCCAGCGAGGCCCACTCACTGCCCTCCCGCTGGACTCACAGGCCTGTGGACAACCCGGAGAAGTGCTCTGCCAGCTTGGGCGGCCGTAGGCTACCAGCAGAAAACAAAAGGCGCTCACACCCGCTGGCTTCTGTCCTGGACAGGAGGCAGTCAGTAGTGGAGGGAAAGGCCTTTCCCCCCAGCAAGGCTGCACCCCAACACCCCCGCCTCAGTAGCCAACACCTGAGTGTGAGCAGAGCGGAACAGGGCCAGGACACCCAGAGCGACCTCAGGATACTGTGCCTTTGTGTCCCCAACAATGGTTCCTTTCGTAGCCATTAGACCCAATGAATTCTGTCTTCCCAATTCAATCAGTAATGTGTGGCTATTGACCTGCTCGGTTGGTCTAAGGGTCATTCCCTTGCCCTCGAGTGGCCACATCCTAGAGCCCAAGGTGCAGCATGGTTCTGGCAGCCTGGAGCTGGCCAGTGGAACTGGGAGAGGACTCTCGGCCGGCATGGATCCAAGCTGCCTTGGGCTCCTGAGCTCCTGTCGTCCCCTGGCATGGACACGAGGGGGCCCCCACTCCCAGGCTGCTGGGGCCCTAGGGGAGGCCTGACCCAGACAGCCACCTCTATGTGAGGGAGACTAGAGAGCTGCTGGTCCTTGGCCAGATTCCACCGGGTGGCAGGGGCCAGCCTGCCTGCCCCCACCCCCACCCGCCACATTGTTGGTCAGGCCCCTTCCCGGAATTCCGGCCGTCTCTGGCCTTTCTTCTGCCTTCTCCTCGGCCCTTTTCCTGCCGAGCTCCTGGGGAGCCTTCCTCCCCACTTCCCTCTATTGGGAGGTGTCCAAGCAGCTCCAACACCATGGTAGGGGGATGGGGAGGGCACCCGACCCGACCCTCAGCAGCTGGTCCCAGACCTTGGGCTCCAAAGCAACAGCTGGAGCTAGTGGGGTGGGGACTCAGGGCCAAATGTAGACAGGCAGGCGTCCTGTCCCCTGGGGTTCCCGCTGGGGGATGGGAACTGGCTTCCCCACAGGGGGTCTGGAGGCTCGGTCACCCTCCCCTCAACAGGGGCCTCTGCCAGCTCCATTGGAGCCCGACTGGGGGGTTCGGGGTGGTCCATGGACGGGTGTGAAGAGGAGGTGGGTGTGAGGGACACGGCGTGAGGCAGGTGTGTAGAGGGGCAGGGGTAGTGTTAAGGGACCTTCTAAGTCAGCTCCAGCTCACAGCCCAGGGGCGGTGAGGGTGACGGAGGCCAGTGGGACCGCAGGGCCCCTGCGTGGCTGGCTCTCACGTCCCCTCCCGCCCCCAGCCGAGAAGGTCAGCTCCCTGGGCAAGGACTGGCACAAGTTTTGCCTCAAGTGTGAGCGCTGCAGCAAGACCCTGACGCCTGGGGGCCACGCCGAGGTGAGCCCCCCCGGGGCTGTGGTGGGGGCTGCAGGGCTCTCCCCACCCTCAGCAGGGAGGGGGACCCAGGAAGCTCAGGCACTGGCCCTCACCCTCTCCCCCTGCTCCTCTGCCTAGCATGACGGGAAGCCGTTTTGCCACAAGCCTTGCTACGCTACTCTGTTCGGACCCAAAGGTGAGCTCAGCTGGCCAGCCGGCCGCCCAGCTGGACCTGCTCTGGCTGCTGGGGAGGGGTGGGCCCCTTCTCTCCATGCCCTTCCCAGGACTGTGCCCCAGCCCGTGGTGCCCTCTGGGAGCAGGGTCCTGACCCCATAGGGTGGGCTGTGGAGGGCCATTTTCTGAGAAGTTGGGTGAGGTGTGAGGCCTGGATGGTGGGCGGGGCCACTGGCCACCCACCCTACAGCGCCTGCCACCCCACAGGTGTGAACATCGGAGGTGCCGGCTCCTACATCTATGAGAAGCCCTCTTTAGAGGGACCCCAGGTCACTGGCCCCATCGAGGTCCCGGTGGCTCGAGCTGAGGAGCGTAAGGCGAGCGGCCCCCCAAAGGGGCCCAGCAAAGGTGAACCGGGTTCTGTGTCTGGGGGGAGGTGTGGGAGCCCCTGGGCTGCCCTGACTCCTTTCCACCTTCCACCCCAGCCTCTAGTGTCACCACTTTTACTGGAGAACCCAACATGTGCCCCCGTTGCAACAAGAGGGTCTACTTTGGTGAGTGAACATGCCCAGCCCCGACCTGTGGGAGGTGTCTGCCAAGGGCCCCTTGTCACCATCTCTTCCCCTTCCCAGCTGAGAAGGTGACTTCTCTGGGCAAGGACTGGCACCGGCCATGCCTGCGCTGTGAGCGCTGTGGGAAGACGCTGACTCCGGGCGGGCACGCGGAGGTGAGGGGCCCGCATGGGCACGCTCAGGGGTCCAGGCCAGACGGGAGGGGCCTGGAGAGGGCCCAAGGGTGGGGATGCTGGGCTCCAGAGGGGAGGGCCAAGCCTGGTGATGGGGGCTGCCCCCTGGTGGCCAGAGTAGAGGAGCCAGGCACTGCAGAGGCCCTGTGGCCCCAGGCACCACCAGTTGAGTGGACTGGTCATGGTTTTGGGGTCTTGAGGGCTCTCAGGGAGGGAGGCAGGTGCATGGACAAGAAGGAAGCCACCGGAGGGAGTGGGGAGACAGGAGTCTGTGGACCCCTGCCTCACCCCCACCCTGTCCCCAGCACGATGGCCAGCCTTACTGCCACAAGCCCTGCTATGGAATTCTCTTCGGACCCAAGGGTGAGTGTGGCCAGGAGGGTGGGTAACCAGGTGCCTCCTGCCCCCTCCGCACCCCTCCCCACCAGCCTTTTGGGCCTTTCTCCACAGGCGTGAACACTGGAGCCGTGGGCAGCTACATCTACGACAGGGACCCCGAGGGCAAAGTTCAGCCCTAGGCCCCTGCCCCAGGGCCCACTGCTTGGCTCCGTGGGGAGAGTGACCAGCAGCCCACTCCCGCCTAGCCTCAGCTGGTCCGGCCCCGGAGTCCAGGGCCTGCGTGTTGGGGGAGGAGGAAGCCAGTTGGGGCATCTCCAGAAGAGGCCAGCCCATCCCCGTTTCTCTAGGTGTGTCTGCCTCTGTGTCTCAGCACTGTTACCCCCTTTTGTGTCCTGCCTCCCTGTCTGTGTGACCCCACATGTCTTCATGTCTGTGTCTTCTCCCCCCTGTGTCCCTGTGTATCCCCGTGGCCCTGGGCGAGTCTCTCTGAGGTGGCCAGCCCACCTCCCCTTCCTGCTGCCCCACGCCTCCCTAGTGTTATTTATCTCCCTTTGCGGGGTGGCACAGCCACACCCCTACCCCTCACAGTGTCCCCAGACAAGGCCCTCTGCAGTCTCCCACACTGCCATGCAAGCGCCGCCCACCACCCTCACGTGGTTCACACCCAACGCTGAGATTCTTGCTGTCAATAAAACGTTTGAGGATTACAGGACCCAGCACTGCGCCTCTGGTTGTGAGGTCGATGCGAATCCAGGACAGGGTCCTTTGTCCCATCCACAAATGCTCCCAACACGCCTGGGCCGGGCTTCTGGTGGGAGGAGGTCCTATTCCCAAGGTTGATAGTGGAGGGCAGCTGAGAGGGGGTCAAGGAGGTGGAAGTGGGAGGGTGGGAGGCATCCTTGGGGTGGGGTCCAGAAGAGGAGAGGAGCCTGTGTTATGCTGAGGTCACCTCCCTCTGGAGCCTATAGGGCTGAGCCCGGACTCCTGGAAATGCCAGCACTGGGCACTAGAGCCAGGAGATGCCTGGGTCCATCAGAGGCCCGGAGGTGCTGGGTCAGCCTCGGTAAAGCGGCAGAGGGTATGCCACGTGAAGGGAGAGGGGACAGGTGACCAGAGGAGGGGGTCCTCTGCAGGGTAGATGGCCTGAGCTGGGCCTTCAGCCCAGGACTGAGCCTGGAAGTCCAGAGGGGTGGGATGTGGTCAGACCAAGACCGCCCGGGCTCTGCCGTGGCTTTTGTGTGCAGGGCTAGCAACCTGGTGGCCATGGTGGTCAGCCTGGCTCAGCACTGGTGGTGGCCCAAGGACGGAGGGTGGGCAGCCCGAGGGCAGGGGCTTGCGTGCCCCACTGCCCGGGCGCGCCCGCCCAACCGCGTCCCGGAGTCTGCGGTTGCAGCGGTAGCGGGACGGCCTGGCTTTGCCCTTTCCCCTCGGACCCCTTGGGAGCGCCTGGGACTCGCCTCCCCCCGGCCCGCTGCCCGATACCGGCCGCTCCGGGGCATCCGCCAGGGGGCGCGCCTTCTCTTCCC